TAAACTGCCTCCATCCTGGCTGTGCACGGTACAGTGGCAAGAGCCTCCTTCTTAGTCTCCCTGCCGCAGTTCTTGCTCCTTTCCCTGATCCAAATGTTCCTAACGCCTCCTACCCACTCAGCAACAAGCTCAAGCTCCTTCTGGGGCCCCCGAGGTACGCGCCACATCTCTGGCCTCATCCCTGCCACACATCCACTCAGGCCCGTGTGCTGTGCCTCCAACTCACCAGGAACGTCCAACCTCGGGACCTTTGCATCTGTTTAGCCCGCTGCCTCCTCTTCCAAATACTCATAGGATTTCACCTCTCACTCACCCATGTCTCCGCTTAAACCTCATTTGTTCAAAGAGGTCTTCCTAGCTGTTCTGTCCAAAATCACCCTTTGGGCACTCCCTACACTCTCTCCCTACCTTTTTCGCTTTGTAGTACCTATCACACTTAGTGTGTGTGTGTGTGTGTGTGTGTGTGAGAGAGAGAGAGAGAGAGAGAGAGAGAGAGGATTTATTTTGTTTGTTATCTGTGTCTCCTCCAGACTAAATTCTGTGGACCCAGACATTGGTTTTGTTCACTGCTATGTCCACAGTGCCTACAGTGTGGTCTGACATAGTATAACAGGCCTCAGAAAATATTTATGGAATAAATGAAGGAACCAAGCACTAAAGAAGTTGTGAATGTACAGATTGAAAGAAGGAAAATGCTACAGTTGCCAAACTTGGGCCTGGAGTTGTTGGGTGGCACATGTTTGTTGAATGAATGTATGACTATACATTGACCTGGGATGTCATATAGAGTTCTCCTGCTGGGTATGTGACTGAGCTCTGCCACTGAGCAGCTTCATCTTCCTCTTTTTGAGGCCTTGATATTCTCTTATGTAATATGGGAGAAATGGATTAGACCATGATTTTTTTTGAAGGTCTTTGCTACAGGGTGAGTGCACTTGCTGGAGAGAGACAGAGAGGGAAAGTGAGAAATCACTCCCTGGAGGGATAGGTACGCTGCAATCCCTTCTCTTCCATTCTACTCTTGGGATTTGAGATAGACATGCACGTGCAGTGGTCAGAGTTTCAAGCCGCTGGGTCCGGGCTTCAAATCAGTCGGCCATGTGAAAGTCTAATGCCTTAACCACCATACCACCTGCCGACCCCTAGATCGTGATTTTAAAAACTTATTATTATTGTTATTATTGTTGTTGTTATTTTAAAATTTGCTACAGGGCATGTGCATTGACCAAGAGACGGAGAGAAAATGGAAAGTGAGAAAGCACCCTCCCGGGGGGGGGGGGCGGGGATGGTCATGTTGCAATCCCTCCTCTTCTGCTCTCCTCTTGGGTTTTGGGTGATGTACACATAAACACCCTGGCATGTAATGCTCCCCTAAAAATACTACTTCTTACCTTCTTTCAAGCTGCTGGGTCTAGGACTTGAACCACAGAGTTGGCCATGTGGGATCCAGCTGCCTTAACCACAATGCCACTGGCTGGCCCCTTAATGCTTGCTTTTTGCTTTCTTTCTTCCTTTCTGTCTCTCTTCTTTCTTTCTTTCCCTTTCTTTCTTTTAGAGAGATTTTTGCTATAGGATATGTGTGCTCCCCCAGGAGACAGAAATAGACATAAATTGAGAAATCACCCCCCAGGGGGATGGCCATGCCACAATCCCTTCTCCTCTATTCTCCTCTTGGGATTTTGGATTTTGGGCATGCACACACACGCACCTGGTGTGAGGGTTTTGTTTGTTTGTTTGTTTGTTTTTTACCTGGTGTGAGTTTTAAGCTGCCAAATCCGGAACTTGAACTGTGGTCAACTACATGGGAGTCCAGCGACATAACCATGACACCATCTGCTGGTCCCAATGCATTCTTTTTTAATACTGGTTTCAAATGAGAATGTATGTGGCAACCCAACAAAGTGGAGGTGGTCCTGTTCAGGGTGAGAGTCTTGGCGCCTATGCAGGTGTATTCTTTGCTTCCTCTCATTCACAATGGGCCAAAGGGATTAGAGAGTCCCTGGGAACCACAAGGCTCTCCCAAGAATAGTTCAAATCACTGCACTTATGGCTCCCTAAATCCCAGTAATAAATTGCTTTATTGTTCAGCAAGTGAAATTCAACACCATCTCTGCCCACATGATGTTGATCATGTGACTTTATGTACACCTCAGAATGTGGACCTAAGTTGTCACTGTGATGGTTTCCAGTGGGAGCCCTAAGGGGATATTACAAGTTTTTTTCCAAATGCCTTGAGCTCCTCCCCTTTACCATGAGAACATCCCATTCAACCTTGGTTCTGATGTGAGAGACATGGGGGGAAGTGGGCAAACTGATTCTGACCATGGGTTGGACCAGAGCTGCAGCAGCTGGTTTCCCTGACACAGAATGTAACACAAGCAAGAAATCAATGTGTATTGCTGCAAGAAACCGAAATTGGGGGCTGCTTGTTACGCAGTATAACCTGAAGAAAACGGAATTAACTTTGAGAACGTATGTGGCAACCCAACAAAGTGGAGGTGGTCCTATTGAGGGTGAGAGTCTTGACCAGAGGAGGATGTTGGCATTATCCACAGGGTATAGGAACCCACATTTAGAATTTATTTTTGTCAGCTTTTCAGCTGTTTCCTTGCTATGTAATGCTCCCCTAAAAATACTACTTCTTACCTTCAGCAGTAATCTTAAACTGATGGTTCCTGACTACTTGTCACTTAGACTTTTGAGCCTGCATCAATTAATTTATGTAACAAACATACTCTATGCCTATCCACCTACGTATGAATACAGAGGACCATACAATTGTAAGTTTCTGAGTGGCCATTTAGCAGAAAACCTCCTCTTCAGTGAATGTTAATGGTGTGCCTACTCTGCCAGGGCTGCACGGATGAAAAATAAATGATCCCTGCTGCCTTGAAATTTGAGACATTATACTCAGGGTAGGAAAAGAGTCTGACATGAGTAAACCACCATTGACAACACACAAAAGCCCCTCCTCGTCTCAAGTTCACAAAGCCGCCCCTCGTTTCTACTTAGTGAGGCTAGATAATTTTCGAAATTGATGGATGCTTACAGCATACACGAGAAGAGCATTTTTGTAGCAACAGAACCTTTTATCTAGCTAACGGGCAGCTAAAAACATCCCCAACTCATCCTTTTTAGCAGTCTTTACTGAGACTAATTTTCCCAAACATCATTTGGAAAGTATGCCAAAGAGGGAAGAGTGTGTCTCAGGGTGTGGGCATTCTGCAGCCGGGGGACCCTAAGGGACCCACTCCTCGCTGAGCCACAGTCTCTTCATCTGCAACGTGGGCTCTGTCCACCAAGGGGACTGGACCAGAGGGCCTCTCGCTGCTTTAAGACCCTTAAGGCAGGTGGCGTGATGGTTAAGGATGCTGGGCTCTCACACGGCCGACCATGGTTTGAGTCCTGGACCTGGTGG